GCCTCTTTACTAAGTTCAGTTAAACGGTTTGCAATTTGGTTTAAAGGTAGCGGTCCAGTATGAAGCAATTTTTTGAGTGAATGAAGATAATTTTCAAATGGGTAAGCAGATAGGGTAGATAACGGTCCAAACCTCTCTACTTCATCCACTACATGACAGAGATTATGAACGTTACTAGTGATATATTCTATACCATAGAAATCCTTATAATCTTTTACAAAATCGTTGAACAGTTCCCTTGCAACCGGAAGGAAGCTTTTATACATTTCAACAGAACAAATTCTAACGGCACAAAACAAAAACAGGAAATGTTGATAGTACTTTTCTGGTAAATAGTCTTTAAGTAGAACCAAACCAACGTAATTCAGAAAATTGCGATATTCTAAGCCTTTCCATAGGGAAACATGCTCTAATGAACGCATTCGACGGTGAATTTCTTTAGGAAAACGAATTCTTACGAGTAAATTAGATATTTCGCCTTTTTCTACAGTACTCCACTTTGCTCGCTTCGTCATAGATCCCGTACGCCATCCATTCAGTAACTTCCGCATTACACCCAATTCCAAAAGATGAAGTGCGTCGGCGACAATTATATCCTCAATCATATCAATAGGTAAACGGAGCAAAGGTGTATCGCTCTTTTGGTGTTCAGGATACTCTTTGTTTCTAAATTTCTCATTGGTTCGAGGTTGTGCATCAATTTGAGGAAATATTACTGTGCCAGCTGTGTGACAAAATTTACCTTTGGTTGTACATTTGAGACAACCATGTTTACCATTAAAATTCATCACTCCTTTGATGAATGATCGGGCAGGAGAATCGCACACAAAACAACGCACTTGTACAACCTGGTATCCATTTATCATCAATCCTGTTTCTAGAATTGGCAAAAGCTCGTCTATAAACGGATTTAGAAACTCAGTTGCGTTTTTTGGCTTGCTGGTTCCATAAAATATTCCTATTGCCATAGGAGATATGTGGGGCAATTCGTGAATATTACACAGGATTGGCCAGAAGTTTTTAAGGCTGCTTTTGTGAATTGGCAAACCGTCGATGTTAAAATTCAAAGATATTGATAATGGTCGATCAAGCTGTTCCAAAGCTTTTCGTAGGCAATTCTCAACACCCTGATGCCAATATCGTTCGTTCTCTCCCATTTCAATTATGTTCAAGTTTCTTGGAGTTCTCATGATGGTGCGGGCATCACTCGGCAGATTTAAACCTAGGTTGGAGTTGAGAATCCCTACAAGAGATTTCAATGCAGCCTGAGTAATGTGGAACTCAGCAGACCAGCTGCGAAGTTCAGCAAGAAGATCTTGACGACCAGCTGAAAATGTATGATTGTAAATTGAAGCAATATTAGATACGTTTAAGCTTACGGATTTCCGACACAGACTGGTCCTCGTTGGAAATGTCTGGTAAATCATCAGCATCGTTTATAGGTAATGTCTCGGGAATCACATGGTTCTGAATCTCAGGCAGAAATTCATCAGGATGCTCTATGGCTCGTTCTATCTGTTTGCTAGGATCTGGGTTGTTGTTTCTAGAAAGTTTCCACTTCTTTCTATATCGCTGAAGCAGTCGGCTATAGGTTCCGCTCTTTCGAGCCTTAACTATTCTCCTTTTTGTCAAATAATCACGCATTTTTTAATAATACTTGCTGATCTTAATGAAAACACTCAAGCTTTAATAATTTTGATATTGTGCTTTAATTTTATCCTTACGAGTAAAATTCATATTACATACGATTTAAAATCAACATGAACCGACTTGGTTCATACATATGATGTACATTATATTGTTATCATAATTTAAATCGTAAATCGTGTTTTGAGGTAACACTTTATACGATGTGTACCATATATAATACGATGTAATATGGATAATATGGCTAATGCATGCATATTCATCGTTGTGTGAAATATTAACGACTTTAAACCAACATAATATGGGATCGTGCGTATATTTATGCGAGTCTGGCCTATTCGTCGTAATAAGTTCGTGAAAAAACATAATATGCGATGAATTTTACACATCGACCGTACATAGCGTATACAGATATGCGATAGTGATTTAAACTCATATTTTATACGATGTAATATATACAATCTTATACGACTTCTGGTTGTCTGGGCACCTCTCTAAGTCGAAAATGATGACGATCGGCTTTTAATCACCCCACAGCAAATGCGATCGGTAAGCATGTCGCTTCATCGCATTTGCTTGGCTCGACTATCCAAAGTCCGCTCGAAAACCAGGTTGCGCAATGCGTTCAAAACCTAGATGCCACCCCTTGTGTCGTGCCTCCGGCGGATATGATTACAGTACAACAAATTTGCTCAGCGCTGAAATGCACCAAGAACATGAAGGCTCCCGGGTTTGACGGTATATTCAATTTGATCTTGAAGAGACTCAGCATGAAAGTGCAGTCTCTTCTAACCGCTATCTTCAACAGATGTTTGGAACTGCACTACTTTCCAAGTATCTGGAAAGTAGCTAAAATCATACCAATCCGCAAACCCGGTAAGGATCCAACATTGCCTTCAAGCTACAGACCCATCAGCCTCCTTTCAGCGCTGAGCAAATTGTTCGAGAAACTCATTCTCAATCGTTTGCTCAAGTTTGTCGAGGAAAATAACAATCTCCTTCCGGAACAGTTTGGGTTCAGAAAGGGGCACTCCACCAATCACCAGCTAGTACGGGTGATGAATAACATCCGAAGTAACAAAGCTGTATCCAAGTCCACAGCCATGGCCTTGTTAGACGTTGAAAAGGCGTTTGACAATGTTTGGCATGATGGACTTGTGTACAAGCTTTGTAACTTCAACTTTCCTTTACATCTTATTAAAATCACCCGTAACTACCTCCAGCAAAGGTCGTTTAAGGTATCGTTGAATGGTTGTCTTTCAGACACGTTTTCCATCCCAGCAGGAGTCCCGCAAGGCAGTTTGCTGGGCCCCTTGCTTTACAGCATTTATACTTCCGACATCCGTCAAAGGAAGGATGCCTCGCGAAATAACTAACAAACTTCAACGATCCCTTAACGCCTTTGCTGATTATGCCACCACGTGGGAAATTAAAATCAATTCTTCCAAAACACAAGCGATCATGTTCCTCCATCGGCAATCGCCCAAACTAAAACCGGCTCCATCTTGTACTGTAATCATGGATGGCACAAGGGTTGAGTGGTCTTCCGAAGTTACCTAACTCGGGATGTTGTTCGATGAAAAGCTCCTCTTCCGTTCGCATGTAGAGAAAACTGTAATCAAGTGTTCTGCCTTGGTTAGATGTCTGTATCCGCTGATTTGCCGCAGATCCCGCCTCTCAAAGGTGAACAAACTGGCTGTCTACAAACAAATCATAGCACCTGCGATCCTCTACGCAGCTCCGGTGTGGGAATCATGTGCACAGACTCACAGGAACAAAATTCAGGTCGCTCAAAATAGAGTGCTGAGGATGGTTCTTGATCGTCCTTTCGACACTAGAATAACAAATTTACATGAAGAGGCAGGCATTGCCAAAATAGATTCCAAAATTAACAAAATTAAGACTCAATTTGCACAAAAATGTAATTTATCAGAACATGCTTTGATAAGCAATTTGTATATAGTAGGTTAAGTGTATATAGTAGTTGTAGTTGTAAATAGTAGTTATAAGTAGTTTCCTTTTTCAATTTAAAACAAACCAATCCCACCAAGGTGGTCAGTCTCTAAAACAGGCCTGATAGGACTAGGAACTGTAATTAATAATTAAAATGTCAAATGTACTAAAGTTGAAAAGACGCATCTGTGTCACTTGAAAATTCATACATGTAAACCACACAAACACAAGAAATAAAGATCATTTAAAGTCAAAAAAAAAAGTATACCTATACAGAGAGAAAAAAGACCACGAGAAAACAGCGTTTCTGACGAGGAAGAGTTTCGAGGATTTCCAGATGTACCAGTGGTACCAGCAAAGGACAGCGATAGCAGGTGCTTCAAGCAGGCTAGACGCAGTCCTATCGCTACGAGAAGCTATTCGCGATCAAAAACGAACAAGGAGGAGGAAGATTCAAGTCGAGCGATGTTCCAGAAGCAATGAAGCCTTGGAATCGCGTGAAGAAGAAAAAGTGAATTAACACGAATTATCATTGAAGCATCTGAGAAGAATTTCGAGTTCGATATTTGAAATTACAAGTTATCTGAAATTGAAAAATGCTTAAAATAAATTTGTTGATGTAGATATCAGTTCGAAGCTAAATTTAAAGGAAGTTTTGGTGTAGTTTAACTAACTAATCGAATGTACTGCAATCTAGTCAAATTAGCGTTATGTCTTAAGGAGGGAGAACTGATATGTCCGGTGTAAAAATCGAAACCCTTTTAGCGATAAAATACGGTCTGAAAGATAAACGATCAGTGATGTTCACTCGAACGATATATTGTATGTGTTAAACGGTCGAAGCTGCAATAAATTAGAGATGAACTATAGCCTATAAGGCTAAAAATCTCTTAAATAAAGTTAAAAAAAAAGCTGCAATAAAGACGAGTGTCGGTCTCTTATATCGCTGACCATGAACAACGACGGACGTGTTTGATTCTTTTAGTAAACAGAGTAATCTTATACCTTTTCAAGGACACAACAAGAACCACCAACAAGTGGTTTGCTAGTGAGCGAGCCTTCAACGCGGCGTCGTTTTAATGGCGGTTTACGCATGAAATCAGAGTTTGTCGGATTTGTCCATGCGATTCGTTTCGATAGCTGAGCGATCTGCTGTTGTTTAACTGGTTTAGCGCATTGGTCACAGGCGGAAGTCATGCTGGCTGAGTTTCCAAAAGTGAAACACCTTGGTGTTATCTCTAGAATTCATTCTAACATTTTTGGAACAAAAAAAAAATCAAAAATTCTCTTAATTAATAGTTGTATTCTGAAAAGCTAGTCCAATCCAAGCACTTGAAATCTTATTGCTTGTCATCATATGGACTTGTAATATAAACAAGCAGTGATTTGCCCGAAGAAAAACATCTTTATTTGCATGTTCTTGGTATCTGATTGTGAGAAACATTGAGAATTAGGAAATATTAATTTTCCTTCCAAACAGTTAAGGAGCCATAGGAGGACAGTAAACACTTTTCAATATAAGTGATTCTTCTTCATGTGTTGCTTGGTGTGGGCACTAAAATGAATAAGGATTGTGGTGTGGGCTAAGTATCGATTCATGTGTGCTTACCTCGTTGTGAACGCTTTGTCGCAAAAGGCGCAGTTGAATCTTTTCTCTGCGTGCATGTACTTTTTGTGATTGGCGAGACTTGCCTCGGATGTATACAGCTTATGGCAAATGTCGCACTCTTGTTGTGTGCTGTGAGCGAACCGGTAGTGGTTCTTGCGACTCGTTCGGCAATGAAAATCTACATCATCGCAGCCACGTTCACATTTATATGGCCGATGATCTGTTTTAAGAAGGATTAGCTTTAAAATGTTAGCAATAGAATTTCAATTGGTAATGGGAGACGGTATTTACCATTATGTAAATTCTGATGGCCTTCCACAGCAGATTCCTTGATCTGTTTGCCGCAGATGGGACAGTTTATTAGCGGATTGGATCTACGCTTTCTTGAAAAGTTCGAGCTTTGCTGCTGTTCTGATTCTGAATTCGATTCATCCTGCTGTTGGGAGCTGCATTCTGTAGCTGTGGTTGGTTGCAACTCCCTTTCAGGTTCTCCGCCACATTCAACCCAAGAAGAACTTCCCGCCACAACTGCATCGGAATATTGCGCTTGTTCAGGTTCTGCTTCTAATTCCATTTTAACTTTTCCTGTTTCAAACGAAGAGAAATGTTCCTCACCGGCGTCAACCTGTTCGATTGGGTTTTCCGTACAATCGACACCGCCGTCACTTTGCACCCTTGGTGGCTCCAATAAATCCTGCTTCGCACTAGACCTGGTTCTTCGACTCTCGTCATCATTGTCATGAATTTTCATATGTAACTTCATACGCCAATTCTTGTGAACCGGACAGGGAAATTTCCTCTCGCGGTTGGGATTGTGATAATTCATGTGATCTTTCAGTGCAGAGCTGAAATTCAGAAGGTTCGTTAAAAGTTAGTTGATTCGTGATTATTCTAAAATTTCTTACGGTGTTAGGAACGCTTTGCCGCAAATCGAGCATACTTTTGTCCTTGACGTATGAGCGACCCTTTTATGATCGTAGAGCTTTTTCCTGGACTGAAACAACTTGTCACAAATATCGCACTCGTATTGCTGTGCGCTATGCATATTCCGATAATGATACAGCTGGACTTGTCGGCTATGAAAACTCACATTCACGCAGCCATGCATGCACTTGTACGGTTGAAGACCTGCTCCACGAAATGTAAAGTTCCAAATTAAAGATAATAAGAAAAGCAAACCTGATACTAACCTTTGTGTTTATTCTGGTGGCCTTCCATACGAGAATCGTGAATCTTTTCGCCGCAGATAGAACATTCCGTTTTCTTTTCGTGGTCGTATTTTACACGTTTCGTAACGAGCCGAAAAGTAGGTTTTGGTATTTTACCGTGCTCTGCAGCTACTTCTGTCGGTTGCAAGATCTCCTCAGTAGCGGTAGTCAATTCAGCATCGGCCTCTGATTGCGGTGCCGCCTCTGATGACGGTCCCGCCTCTTCTGCTTCATCCAACGGTTCTTCCTTTACGACCGGGGTTGACTCGCTTTGCAGCACGTCTTGTACTTCAAGGCACCGCAGTTGGAAGTCACGAAATTCGTGCAACCGTGTCCGGCAGAGAAAGCAGATGGATCGACTGATGCTGTCATTCTCGGAAACCTGAAAGAGACGAACCAACCTCAGTGACGGCATTCAATGTTGGACTCCAGCTTATACCTACCACAATCGAGAGGTAAGCAGATATCAACAGATTAAGATCCTTCTGAGCGAATATGTCTTCCAGCAGTTCCTGACTCAAACACAATCGGCAAACTTGTTGAAGGTTCAGGATCGATGTGTATTCCGTTTTGATTAAAGTAGTATCCATTTTATAGGAATAATAATCACAAAACAGTACGACGAGTAACTGAAGTTTGTTTTTTTTTCTTGTTTGTTTGTTTACGTTAAGCCGATACCCGAATAATCGAGCCAGAGCTGCCAGGTGGTTTTATAAAAAATCTGTATCCACTCTATTAAAAAATCTGTATTTTCTGTATTGACGATTTTTTTCTTAATTAATCATGTTTTGTTATTTTACAAATACAGTGCATACAAAATAACCATAAAAAGTGCTTAACCACCTATTCGGGCTATCGTACTAACCATACGGGATATAATTGCGCCATTTGTGATATCGTCCGTACTTATTTATAAGAGTGATATGAAGTTAGTTTCTATTCATTATCTCCCTGATAAGCAGTTTTAAATGCAAAAAAGTGCACGAGTTCATTACTATTTGATATTTTTAATATAGATGAATACAATTAATTACATCATTTGTGTGGTAGTTACACCGAAAAGTCGAGAGATGTCGCCCCGCCAGTGCTGGTAAAATCATTTTTGCAGTATGGAGAATATCAGAAAATCCGCAATTTCTTACGAAATACATTTTCAATGCAAGTAAAATGTTTACGAGTACTTGTATTTGTACCATTTTAATGTGCTCGGGCACTTTTCTTGTATTTAACATACATGCTTATATTGGAAATATTCAATTAATACTGTAAATCCCCATGCAATCTCAAATCGTTTACTACCAGCTCTATATGCATCCGAAAGCGGTTGGTCCTCTGGTTGTGAATGCTGTCAAAAACACCATAACATGATTAATTGTCGATGGAAATTTGATAGGTTCCCGAGCAAAGGGTGAGAACAAAATGAAAACAAGAATTATGTTGTTTTCATTATTCCTGATAACTCAAATTGATTTCATTTTGATGGAGTTGATGGCTAACAGAACAAAAATGAGAGCTAAAAGATATGCGAAGAATATCAAAATTATAACATATATTGATATTAGTGAGTACTGCTTGATAACTTATTTTGATATAGATTTTTTTTTCTCAAGCATTTTATAAAAATCTGTATAAATCTGTATTGTAATTTAAAAATCTGTGATAAATCTGTATTCTGTATCGGGTCTGTATTAAGATTAAAAAATCTGTATAATACAGATAAATCTGTATAAATGGCAGCGCTGAATCGAGCAGTTGAGCACGCTACACTGAAATCTCGCGTCACTTTTCAAATAGACCAATGTAACAAATGTAAACAAATATTTAAACAGATTATTTTTTCATTATCGGTAGCTTCTCAAAACTTTTATCGGTAGTCATCGGTAGGTCGACTTAAGAAGGCTTTCCCGATACTTGAAACTTTAGTGAGCGGGGGGAATCTTTGATCCAGAACAATACACTGTCCTTCAGTTCTTCTGCTTTAAACGTGTCGAAATCAATTTTTCTTTTTATAATCTAAAAATCTGTGATTTTCGGTAGGAAAAGTGAAAAATCGGTAGTGTTGAACCTTTCGTCTGTGAATCGGTAGGCACCCCGAAAATCGGTAGGACTACCGATAAATCGGTAGGTCTGGCCACCCTGTTTGGAAATCCGTATCACAAAATTGCCCACCGATTCCTTTTTTTGCCGTTCGACGACGACGGGTGTGCTTTCGCAAGAGTAACGTTTATTGACAAATCCATGTTTCAATCGACCACCGTGACGCTGCAATCGCAGCGGTGATAAGTCCGAAATAATGTGCAGGGCTGTTACAAGATTTTCTAAATATGATCCGCGAAATCCGCGATTTCTCAAAAGAAATCCGCGACTTCAAATACTAAGCCGCGACAAAAAAAAAACTATTTTCATTGCCTAAAAATACCATTTGTATACTACTACATGGCATTTCGAGCTTATTGCTTATAGCATATTAGATTTTTGCCTGCTCCCAACTTAGTGTTCTTTGAAGTACTTTCACATTTTAATTGAGAGCTTTCTATGCCTGTACCATCCTATGCCCAAGGAAGTAGAGATATTTTCCAACCCGAAAAATTAATAGACCAGTAACCAATATTTTTTGAAAATTAACCTTTGCGTCTCTGATGTATTTTGCTGTCCTAAATGTTGTAGTTAATTTGGCTCTAGTTTACTCAATTTTTTACCGATTCAAACCAAACACCCTGCACATAACTGAAAAAATACCAGAGTTTCATAAGTCACACTTGTTGGTCACGTCGCGGTTTTGCATTTACACGAATATTCCTGTCCAATGGTGAGACATTTTCATGATATTTTTTTATTTTTAATATGAACCCTTTCGATGCCAAATCATAACCGAATCGTATATAGTGTGGGTGAGCCAGTAGTGGAGGTACTAAGCCAATTTATCAATTAAAAATAAATATACGATGTACACACAATTTGTATACGTCAATCTATAGCTTTCAACCTCTATTTTGGTAGAGAAATATTACATTGTAATAAAATTGCATAAAATTTTAGAAAGATCGTCCTCCATTAATAAGAACACTGTTCCAGTAGATGTGATAGTTGCTTACTTTGGTTCCTATAATAGTGGAATGCGTTGGTTTCTTATGGGTTCCACTATTATAGGAACACAACCGCAACTATAGGTGCAAAGGAGTGAAAATCTTAAGGAAAATTAATTATTTTCCGTCACCTTTGGGCATATTTTAAGTTTGAAATATGCAAATATGCTTTATTTTAGGAGAGCTACCGATGAAAAATAGTCTTATCCGGATCCTCCTCACTATTCCGGCACAACCTCCATACCGCAACTTTAGGTACACCACTATTACCGAAACACCTACCCTATGTGACTTTTAGTATCATGCACGACTTATTACTATGTATACAGGAAATTATAGGTTTTCCAAATCGTTGAGGTTATAGTTGATTTGTTCTACTAGATCAACCAAGACATTATCGAAGTATCGAAAAATGTCCAATCAGATTCAAAGTGTCTACGTGGATCATTTCGTGATCTATTTCCGAGTAATCCAGATGTTGTAGGTTCTTCAAATTGTCCTGGAGTTCAGATAATTTAATCTACTAGATCAACCGAGATTGGGACAATGTCTTTAGTATCGAAATATTTCCAGACAGATGCGCAGTGTCTATGTGGATCATTCATGAACTATTGCTATGTATACCAGATGTTTTAGGATCTCTAAATCATTCTGGAGTTCAGATGATTTATTCTACTAGATCAACCATGACTGAAATAATGTCTGTGGTATCGAAATATGTCCAAACAGATTCATAATGTCTATATGGATACAATTTATGATTTATTTCCACGTATACCAGATGATCTAGTTTCTTCAAATCGTCCTCCAGTTCAGAGGATTTGTTTTACTAGATCAACAAACACAGCAAAAAAATAATTTTGATATCACATCAAAGTGGATGCACTACAATCATGTCGAAAATTTCATGTAATTTTTATGACCACATAAATAAACAAATGCAGTAAAAGCAGCGTAATGTCAGTTCATGCATTGTATTAATGATAATTTTGTCCTTTTTAGCAAGTAATATTACACCATATTTTCGACATGATTGTAGTGCATCCACTTTGACGTGATATCAAAATTATTTTTTTGCTGTGAAGACTGGGATAATATCTGTAGTATCGAAATATCGATTTGTAAATCTTAGAACATTTGACATACACGGAAATAGGTTGGCATGATGCACATAGACACTGCAAATTTGTTTGGACATATTTCGATACTACAGATATTGAATTAGTTTTGGGTGATCTAGTAGAAAATAATCTGATCTCCAGAATGATTTCAGAACCTATAACATCATGTATACGTTCAATAGGTCGAGCACGATCCACATAGACACTTTGAATCTGTTTGAACATATTTCGATACTACAGACATTGGCAATTACTCGCATGTATACGATTCGTTTATGATTTGCCAACGAAAAAAAAATAAATAAAAAAAAAAAAACATGAAAATGCCTCACGTTGGACAAACCCCAGGGATTTTTCCGTGTAAATCCGGTGTGACTTATGGAATTGAGATCATTTCTCGATTATTTGCAGGGTGTTTGGTTTAATCGGGGACGGAAAGGTTACGATGAATTCCACAATTTTTGTTATTTTTTTCAGTCCCTTCGCGATTTTCGCGACATCATTTAATTTTTCCGCGATTTTCGCGACTGAAAGTTCAAATCCGCGACAAATCCGCGAAAATCGCGAAATACGCGAACTTCGCGAAATCCGCGCCTGTTGTAACAGCCCTGAATGTGAATACATTTCTGAAATTTCAACCAAAAAACTATTATTTTCTATTTATTCTAGCGAGCTTCTGTGGAAGTCAAAACGTGATCCGAGCAAAAAGTAGTACTCGTAATAATGGTATATAATGCTGAATTTTATCGTGCTTTGTTTCGAAAATATCTTCCAAATAAACAAACATCATCCAGATCACCCGATTCGTCCACCGACTAAATCTATTGCAACTTAAAAAATAATTTCAGTCGGTGTATTAATCAGCAGATTAAATCGTTTTTCGTCTGGTGCTACACCGAGCAATCGGCCTATTTAATAGTTTTTCGTCGATGGATTTAGTCGGCCAACTTTGTCTGCTGTTTAATCGGCAGATGATTTCAAACCTTAACATGTTTTCAGTAATTTATAAGTCTTGAAGTAGCTTTTTATTTAAGAACAATGCATTACAAAATAGTTTTATGCATTTTGTACAAGATTCATCCATGCTGACAAGAAATTTTCATGAAATTACATTGAAATTAAGAGTTGGTTGGAAATGCTAACATGAAGCTTTAGTGTGATGATTTATTAGCTAGAGAATGATCTTTAGAAGAGGGTAGGTGGATAGTTCCGTTAGAGTACGGCCACAAACAAAGTGACAGACGACTAACTGGCGAAGAAATCCATTCAAATAATATGGTTCACAGTAATAGATTTTTTTTTGGAAGCTTGTGCCATCATCCACCAGATGGGTTAGTTTTTTTGTTTTGATTTGAACAAAGTTGATTTTGTGTATAATGATTCTTTGACAGTGTGCAAAGAGTGTATAATTTT